ATTAATATCTTTGCTTTGCGAGCGATCACTTAGGAAGCATATCTCGGCCGTTCGTCGTGTAGCCATGTTCCGCGGTATCGACCCTAAGTAGTGATTATTTTATTTCGCGTTGTAAACAATTTATATTGGGCGATAGCGTGTCGAGTGTTCGCCGTAATTATAAATGAATGCATAACGCTTTAAATGTTTCTCGATTTGAATACCTCTTAAGGTAGGGTTGTATCACATCGCATTTCATATATTTACTATAACTTTGTATTACGTTGCTGCAATTTGTGAAATCTTCTTTCGTAAACAGTTTCTTTTTTCCTTATTTAGGCCAATGCAGTAGCACCACGCAATTAATCAATGTTATCGTTACAGTTATGCGTACTATTAAAAAGACTCCAAGTTTGAACTGTACCAGCAAACATCAACTAACTTACATTTACTATCCGTTTAAAATACATATGTTTTTAGTTTTACACAATATCTAAACCTAATAAAGAAGTTTATATTTTCCTTTTATAATAAAAACCAGACCCCAAAGGGTTATCCGATTCAACAACATAAGAATATGAAAAATCGAAAATAATATAAAATTAAAATAAAGAATACCACAGACTATTAATACCTTAAGATAATAAGCTACCACAAACTTGTCTGTTGTTTTTTAAATACGAAACTACGATGCTAAATAGCGTGTTGCCTGCATAAGCATGCCGGCATTCCATCGCATATTATTCACGAGAATGAAGATACGTCAATGCACCATTATCGGTGCACCGGACTGGTATTACCAATCGGCCGCCACTCGAGGGTTAATTAGGCACAGGAGGCATACATCTCGCTAGTTCCCATGGTGGTATGCAAAAATTGTTGAGAAAACACGTATCGGCTGTGCGTGCCTGTTAATTCTCGGGCCCTTTGCTGTAATTTCAGCATTTAGCCATAAGACCCAGAGCTGTAATGGACTCGCTGTTGAGATTTAATTACGTTTCAGTGGTTCGCTCGAACTTACAGCAACTTTGGAAGCTAGCCGAGCGGGTATCGCCTTCGAATTCAGAGTTACATCTGATGAATATGGGTTTTTATATATAGGGTTCTCAATCTTCTAATTGCTCACTAATCGCTTTGTTTGCACACACTGGTTAATTTACTATCCATTACGCTAAAACACATTATACAATGGCTTTCATCTATAAAATTTTGTTTGAAAATCATAATAGTATTTAGTTGTAAATGTTGTGTGTAATGTGTAAAAGTTTACAATTTGTTCGTTACGCAGGAAATTTTGATAATTTTCTACAAGCATGTATTTAAAGTTCATTGAGAATACAACATATTTTTTTACATTCTACAGTCTATCGTCTAAAAGAGTTGTCGTTGCTTATGTAATATACGAATAAAAAAATCCTTCGCAAATTAATCTGTGACACGTGACTGATCACCGGCGGTCGCGATTCGAACAGCCAGCGTTTATGAAGTAAACACCGGTGGGGAGGGAAATCGTATGCAAACAACGTTTCCCACGATCCGTGGACAATCGGGCGTTTATCGAATCCCCGGGCGGGAACGGCGTGCGGTGCCCGGGAGAGCCGATCCCGCGGGAATCCTCCCGCCACAGACTCACATGGTTCGGGGAGAATGTACGCATTTCATTTAGAGCCTACATTTCATTAAATATAACCCCATTAAAATAGTGAAAAACTGTATGTATTCCGTTTTCATTTATACAAAACACGAGAAGAACCTTCACAAAAATGGTAATGATAAAAATAAAAAAATAAAAAAAAAGGAATTAATTGCCTGTCGTGTTACAATATACTAGATAGGTCGCAATCAAGATGTAAAATATGATCAAAACTAAACACGGTAAAATCCGGAAAACAGTTTTATTTAAAAAATATTGTATCATTCGCGTAAATACTCGAAATCATTATAGAAAAAACAGATATCATCATTTATTAACTTGTATAGAATATTTTATTTTTTCTCGAATTAACTTTTACATGATCACTGAGATTTTTTTAAATATTTTCGGAAGAGAAACCACTATCAAACCAAGTTACCGGAGTACACAAACGCTCCGGTGGGGCCATGTGAACGTTCGTCGGCGTAGCGTGCATTGCGGGCGTGACATGACAGGGTTCGATTCCCCGAAGGCGCTATTACAACCAATAACCATCAGTCGGTAGCCGGGCGGACCCGCTAATTTTCTCTAATTTTCTTATCAAATACGGGCCATTACTTTCGCGCTAACAGTAACGTCACCTAACTGTGCCCAGAATCGTGTGAACTTAGTTACTTATGTAAAGTAACGGAAAAGGCGGGTCTTTATGAGTTAATAAAACTTTAATAGGTTTTAGTCAAGCAGAGCCGTGATAACTAAGTGTCCGGTCGCTTTTAATTTAGTATGAGGTTTTAGCCAAGCTGAGCCGTGACAGCTAACTGTCCGGGCGCTTTTAATTTAGTAATAGGTTTTAACAAAGCAGAGCCATGAGAGCTAATCGTAAGTATCCGGGCGCTAATCGTAGTATCTAAGTGTCCGGCGCTTTTACTTTTAAGGTTTTAGTAAACCATACGCGGTTTTGTGCCCAGACCCAGTTACTTATGTAAAGTAACGGAAAAGGCGGGTCTTTTTGATAATAGTCAAGCAGAGCCGTGATAACTAAGTGTCCGGCGCTTTTACTTTAGTAACTGTCCGGGGCTTTTTTTAGTAAACAAAGCAGAGCCATGAGAGCTACTCGTAAGTGTCCGGGAGCTTTTAATTTGGTAATAGTTTTTAGACCTGGAGCTGTGATAGCTAAGTGTCCGGGCGCTTTTAATTTAGTAAACTCGAGCTGAGTTCAAATCCCGGTGCCGTCACCAATGAAATGGTTAGCTGCAATTTTAAGTGCTAACTTATCACGTGCTCAGCGGTGAAGGAAAACATCGTGAGGAAATTAATGCTGCATAATTTCGAAATAATAACAAAAAATATCGATCTGTCTACCAATCCTCAGGGAGGTCGCTTGGTAAACTGTGCCCTGATATCCTATATATAGAGGAGGTCTTTGCTCAGCAGTGAAACATTCATAAGGTGCTACTTTAAGTGCATTTACCATCTTCTAATACAGTCAGAATAGTACTTGACCAATCGCCAGATTTTTGTTAGAAAAGCCGTCGATTTTGGTACGCTCCACTCAAGGTCACGTCTTGTACGTGCAAAAATTAAGTTTTTGTGGTACGCGGCCTTGAGCTAAAGCGTTTAATTGAGCTTGAAAATGCCTCCTAGATCTTGTATGCTTTGATTGAACGTTTTGCGAAATCCGATGAAAGTGTGTTGTAGTTGTTTAATGATTCATCGTATTCAACGTACTTGAGACTTGGGAAATTGTTATTAAAGGAACACATTAAATATAAACGATTCAGGTCGTTATTGAGTTGTTTGATGTCTTGAGCTTTAGTGAAAAGTGCATAATGTTTCAGCCGTTTAAATCGTGAATTATGGAGACCATGATTAGAGTTATGAAGGTTTGTTAGTTATGACTCGTATTTAAGGATTCTTCTGGATAAGAGAAATTAATTTAAAGGGAATTCAAAGTTTTTACTTAGTTTTTTGAAGTCTAGTAATAGGATTATATCAGTTTGGTATTAAATTTTCCTTACAATCATTGATCGTTATGCATTTAGTTTCTTTACAATGATTTCTTATATTTGCTCTAATGTCATAAACTTGTTATTTATTGAAGTGAAACTTATTGTTTTTTTTGTAATTTTTGTTCTAGTCCCTGCTCTTAAATTTTGAAGTGAATCTATTTTAGGCGCGCTATAAGTGAGGCAAAAAAAGGATTGGCGTCATGATTTCTGTAACCCAACGAAGTCAATGATTTTCCCTAAGAGACAACTTTGTATTAAGAAATAGGGCTTAAGAATACTACATCTCACCGCAGGTCACTGCACTGGGTTAATTTGCGTGCGACTTACGCGTCGAGGACTAATTGCAAACGGGGCGTTTATGAGCGTCATTATACTTGCAAATCTGAACGCCTTCGAGAGTAACGAGTGACGCGAAGACAGCTGGTACTGCACGCGTGTTAGATATTAATTTATTTGCCGTGCGGTTAGTTAGCGGCGCGGCTGAGGCAGCGCATGGTTGTTTTGTTTCGTTTGATCTTAACATTGAACTCAAAAGTCCGCTGCGGAACGAATTTAATTCCCCCCTGTTGGCGCGGCGTTAATGACGCGTTTTGCGATTTAAAGACATGACACGGCCCTGTTATCTGAACATCGATACTGATTAGTTTTGAAGACGTCAATTATAGTTCATTTACGGATATACAGTAATTTGGGAAATGTGTGGAATTGTGTTTGTCATGTTTATGATCAATATTAAATCGTAAGCGTTTTCTTCAGTTTTTAAATCTGGATTGTCTTAAAAGTCGAGATTACTTGAATTCACTTTTATTTATTGTTTAGGCCGATGTTTAAGATACGTCTTACAATTCACAATTTACAGCTAATTCAAATAGCTTAAAAGGCACATCAAAAACATTGATGCTCGCTTTAGCAGCCAACAAGAGTGTCTGATCCTTGTTTGAATTTAAATATTTAACTAAATTACTAGTAAAATTACTTATTAGCATTTTTTTTAAATGCATTGATTTTTTTTTATCAAACAAAGATCCTTAAATGTCAATTTAACCCTTGAAACAGCTTTACGAGTTAAATGATGTTTATTTACTTGCTCGTTTACTTTATAACCTAAAGTTGAGTTCAATCGCAATAACAAATAGTGATGACCCTGTGGAGCTTTTACTAGTTGTTGGCTACGGTGCCGAGTGTCGTGATGGCCCGACCCCGAAATAATATTATTATTCCTTATCAGCGTGTTTGTACTCAAGTAGGATTAAAGTAGGCAGGCAGGCGGTCGTAAAAACCTAGTCAATACCAAATTCACATGTCTCACCGACACCATCCAAGTAGGATAAAGGCAGGAGAAAGAAACAGACGACTTAATAACTGAATCGGAAACTCACCTTGCTGGAAATAGTTCGACTTCCTCACGTAGACGCAGACGAGGGCCATAAGCTGCAGCTGCGACAACCGCTGGCGAGTGGAGGGAGGCAAAGGCAGGAGGTCCCGCAGGTTGGCTATCTCCGCATTGATGAGGTCCCGTCTGAGCTTGCTCGCGCCTTTCGTCGATTTCCCCTGATCGAACCTGGAAAAGACCTGCAAAGTTAAGGAATTGAAAATTTCATTCGGAACAACTGAGGTAGCAACTGATGTGGCGGGCAATTTATTTTGATAAATTGATAAACTATTTGTAAATGATTTAAATATGGAGGACTTTTACTCACTGAAATTACCTCTAACCAGCCATAAAAGGACTACGATCGATCGAAGAAACAATTGACTTTTTTTATCGTCACTTCTTGTTGCGATCGTATGAGATTCTTATAATTGACGGCGATTACGGGTATCCCATGACGTGATACACCTATCTTGAAATAGCCTTGACTCCAAGAGAACGGAATGCGGTTAATTATTTTCGCAAATAGTTGCAATTCCCCCCTAGTAACATCACCGACAAGCGCATCGACCGTTCAATTTTCACACTCAGCTCTCAGTGTACCCCGAGACATGAGAATGAAAAAAACTCAGGCAGTACAAATGATTGTCTCTCACATTTATGTCCACTACGGAGGATATACCACAATTAGCATAATAATTTCTTGTATTTACGGTATTACACATTATAAATGAAACTAATATCTACGGATTTATCGCGTTTATTTTTTGTACAATTAGTTCCCTCTGCATAGATCGGACACAAAATTAATAATTCTAAAACTGACGGTAGCCCGGGTTAACTATGACAATCAGACGTCCAACGCCTCAGTCTGTCCCGTGACCATGAACGCTGTAAAGGTTTCGAAACGTCGGGAATTAAAATTAAAAAATAAACACGATAAATCCGTAAAAATAGATTCATTTTCAATTAGCATATTTGACTAACATAGTACCCTACATGAGTATAAGTAGTACCTGACGGCAATAAACTTCAAGGATAAAGTACTACTAGATTGCAGTACATAAATTTATAAAAAAATTTAACCATCCAACACTTCGGAATTTGTTCGTAATTAATCATCAAGAACGGTTAGAGACAACTATGTTGTCATTTTTAATATCAAAAATTATTATCGAGATAAGTTGCTCGTTCATCATGCGTCGGTAATTTTAAATTGACACTTTGACATGAATACCGGATTTATCGCAAAATAAAATTGATTTAAATGTTACACCGACTTCTGATTATTTTAATATACGTATATTTTTTCATTTAAATGTTTGTTTTGTTGTCGTTTTGCAGTTGTATGATGGAACATGAATGGAACATCTGAATATACTTTGACAAAAAAATGAACCTTAAACACTTTAATTAGAGTATGAGTATTTATGTTTTTAAGATTGTTTTTATTTATAGTGCTAGTTTCTGCACTCAAGATAAAACTTTAAATTGTAAATTTTTGTAGATAAATAAACACAAACATTCGGCGTTGCGGGTTTAGAACCCGCGTGTTCTGGTTCGCGTCCAGATGCTTTACCAGCTAAGATGCTTACCTGCCTGATGTCAACAGTGAGGTCAGACAAATACTTGTTCCTTGTGGGTATCGAACCCACTACCCCCGACGCCGAAGCCTAGCCCCGAGGCTTAGCGACGGCGCCACCGTGTCAATATATTTCTTACTAGCTGCTGCCCCGACTACGTCTGCGTAGAATAGGCTGAAGGTGTAACATTAAAACGGAAAGACAAATTTACATAAAATATGTATATAAATTATAACCTATGTCTTATTCTGATGTATAAGCTATATTATTGTAAAGTTTCATTAAAATCCATTCAGTAGTATTTGCGCGAAAGTGTAACAAACATCCATTCCATACATACAAACTTTCGCCTTTATAATATTAGTAAGGACTAACGTTATAAATTAAAAGAAGTGGCTTAGAGGTGTAATAAAAAACTAAAGTAGATAAAATACGTTGACATTTTCGTTTGTGTGAAGATAGGCCGTTGAGAAAATGAATCTATTTTGAATTAACTGTGGTTTGTAACGGCGTTAAGGATAAAGGTGGGCAAAGATTTCAAGCGCAGGACATTATGAACAGTTATAGAAATCGTACGCAAAGCTTGTATAAAACAAGCTTAGGTATAAGGGCATTTTGCTTGACGGTTAATTAAACTATAGAGTCGGCTGTACACGGACGCGGCCCTGTTCGTTTCGATGTGTGTATCAAAGGACATTCTGGATTCGAAAGTACCAAGGCATTTGGCCCACTCCCAAGGAACGGGCTGGTAGGCGATTTGCCCTAATTTTCTATATTGGTGATGTTAAATCTCGAGCGAACTATCGGCTATTTATTACTGTCTATCTGCTAAGTTAACCAAAAAAACAGTGGTTTTTATTTTATTATTTTTTATGTAGCAGAGTGGCAAACGAGCTGTCGGTTCACCTCATGTTAAGTGATAACCGCCACCCGTAGGCATTTGCAATACCCGTAGGGTTGCAGATGCGTTTCCACCTTTTAATAAAGTGACCCCGGCCACCTCACTCACCAGACGAAACGTAGAAGTATAACACTTCTACTTCACGCCTGTCTTCTGTGAGGTGGTGGTACTTCCCAGGATGGACCTGCCCATTCGTGCAACAGCGAACATTTTTACGTGCCTTACCACAGTTAAACTGAATATTATAAAAGGTATGTTCATTTGGTGTAGATAGTACACAAATCTATGTTTTAATCTTCAGGTAGCGATTTAAAGAGTGAAAGTTTTCTAGATTTCCTCAAAATAATTGAGTTATTAGCTGTGCGCTTTACCATTACTAGTAACTGAGGCACATCACTTGACGATGAAAGCTTACACATTGCTACTAGTGTCCGACCGAAAGTTCGGTTTCGGTTTTGGTCGAGTTTCGGCTAAAAAAGGAGTTTCGTTTTAATTTCGGTTTCGGCGGCAAACCTGCCGAAACTTAGACCGAAATCGATACTGTATTCAGGAATTCTCGCCCTATGATCGGTGATGTTCGACGCGTTAAATTCTATTCATGCGAGTAAGCGACGAAGACTATTGATGGGTCGTTGAAGGTTTTTTCGTACATACCGTGAACTACATCAACTAGTTAAATTTGTCGAGTTAATGTGATGCTTATGTTCATTTGCATGAAGGAACAGATTTCATTTGACGCTGCGACGTTCAACGATTGTAAATCGTCTGATAAATTACCATTTAATAAATTTACAAAACAAAACCTTAAACATCAAGCATAATTATGATAATATTAATGATAGGCCTTAAAATAATTTCTGCCCTTACGTGCAACTGTACACAAATTGTCAAATAAAAATTTAAGAAAGCAAAACTTCTTTGAGAATGTCGGCACTGTCACAATTCTTGTCATCAATAACAATTTAACTATTGCTGGACAAAGTTATTCAGACAAAAGAAGCATTCTGCTAGGCGAAAATTTTGATAAACTATTGTTTCTTACCTATAATTGAGATTGTTTTTCGCTCAAAAATTATCCTTGAAAGGAAGTTTCGGTTTCGGTTTCGGCCGAAACTAATACTATTGCCGAAATTCGTTTTTGGTTTCGGTTTCGGTCGTAAAAACCAGTTTCGGTCGGACACTAAATGCTACATTAACTTGTCTGGGATCACCGATTTTTCGAGCACACCAATCTTTGTTTATTTCTGTTCAGGTTTAATATTCGTGCTATTTGATGTTGAAACTTTGGGTTCCTCATGAGGCCAGCACATCAAAATTTTATAAAGATTTACGTCTTAGACTTATCTCTCGATGCTGATGGCAAGACGGCGGTTCGTTTCGCGCTAAAAGGTTACTTACTATAAGGCACGCTGTGTCACTATAAGCTTTTAACTAGATATTCAGCGAAGAAATACGGTAACTGTTTTTAGCGCCATGCCGCGTGGACTAGGTTTGTTAGAAAACATGTAATTTGATTAGTATTTATCATTGTTGGTATGTTTGTTTAACGGAAAAAATATAAATAATGCGAGTTCTAATTATATTTTCTTCTAATTATATTATCTATACGTCGTGAGAGGAACTTTTATATCTGAGAAGTAATTTAAAAACTAAATTAGAGATATGTAGGTATGTAATGTAAACAAAATTAGAGATATGTAGTAGAGATATGTTTGTATGTAGGTCTGCCAATTAACAGCGGAAAATTCTATTACGCAACCTTCCATTTTTATTGTATCGTTATCGGAATTTCAATTTAAGTTGGTAAGTAAGTCTCATAGTCTTCGTTCGTTTGTAAATGTCATTATTCGTAATATTATTTAATTATTTGACTTGAATATACCGTAATAAATATATATAATATACCGTAATAATATATATATATATATATATATATTTTAATTTTTTTTTTAGTTGCAAATTACAATCTTTATTGATCTAATTTTTACAAGATTAAATCTATCCAAAATTACATATTATCTAATAAACCTAATCCACGCGGCATGGTGCCAAGAATGCTAGCTGCATTTCCGTATATTCGAGTATTCCATTTGCGTATTAAATAAAATTTTGAAAATTTTTTTATGTGTTTGTGAGCCACAATTTTATAAATACTATAAACCATTAGCAGCTCCTCGAAAAGTAGTTTCACTCAATTCTTATGTGAATTACATTAAATTGTTACGATAAAATTAGTAACAGTTTGTTTCCTAGTCGTTAATTCGGTGGGCTACGTCATAATGACCATTATTCTAAATCGATCAATAAACGCGGAGCGATATTAAAATTGCCGGAATATTGTTTTGTATTTCCTAAATTTGTGGATCGGCCTTGGGGCGTAATTGAAGCGAAATAGAATGAGGCAATTGCAGTAAAGGTCAACCTTTATTCGGATTACGTTACTGCGTATTATTCGATTTCCATTAAACACATGTTTTTATTACATAAATGCTTATGTCCAAGTTCTATTTGTAAATACGCTGAAAAATCGATATTTTTTTATGTTTAATTTTAAGATGTAGTATTGATTGAGAACTATGTATTGATTGATGTTTATTGCTCTTATACGCAAATACTACTGAATTAATTTTAATGAAACTTTACAATAATATAGCTTATATATCAGAATAAGACAGGTTATAATTTATGTACATATTTTATTTATATCTGTCTTTCTGTCTGAATGTTACGCCTTCAGCCTATTCTACGACGTAGTCGCGGGCAGCAGCTTGTTATTTAATATTAGTTTATTTAAGCATCATCCGCTACACTAGAACGGACAGTGTATGATGCAAACCTTGAACAGAGTAGTGCTTTTGAAGTGAAAAATGCTTTAGGCGCGTTGAGTACTTTTTGTGTGAACAAAAATCATGGAACTCGTGTCATTATCACCGGACGCTTCCATGAGCTATTTCTAAAAATACATATGTAGATATATGTAATAATGTAATAAATACACATATGTAAATATATGATACATATACGGTTATTATGGTTCGGTGTGCCTATAAAATATCTGGCATTAAATATTATGCAATTTTAATTTTGATATTGTTTTATATTTTCACTCCTGTCGGCGGGCCCCGTGAGACTGCCTATATATTTTTTATGAATAGTTGGAATGCACGCACGCCTCTACAACACCTGACGGGTCGCAGATGCTTATAAACCCCCGAAAAAATAAATATGTATGTGAAGTCATTCCTTCACCTCTTTCACCAGATGAAACGCAAAAGTTTAGGGCTTCTCCTTCAGGTCGGTAAGTATTATATTATATATAACGCAAAAGTATTATATTGTCGCTTGACGCCGGTCTTCTGTAAGGTCATAGTACTTCCCGAGTCTGCCCATTCGTGCAACAGCAGAAGATGCTGCCTGCACTTACCACGGTAACGTAGCAGTTTAAAACAATTCAGATTATTTACAGAAGAACCAGATGTATTTATTGCAACAAAACAAGTGCAGTGCAATCAGCTAAATAACGAGTAATCTACTAATTACTTGGTACACGATAATTTATGAAAAAAATGAATAAAATGTGTTACTTAAAAGAATTACATCAAATTCAATGAATCAATCAATAGTTTTTATAGATTATATCGTGTAAGTCGCGTAAATACTTGAAATTATCAGATTATATCGTGTTTAATTTTTTTTTTTCAATTATCTAACCTAACCTAACGTTTTGAATGTTTCACGGTGATGTATACTAGATAAACGCTATAAAATTCCAAAAAATATATATTTTTTTTAGATGTATAAAAATAGTAATGTGTGGGATTCGCGAAGATCCAAGAAATCATCACGCATCAGTGTTTTTTTTTTAAATGCATTCGTATACATTGCTTTGTAGCCCGCCTTGGAAAAACAGATTTCAGACGAATGTAATGATATTTACGGTACATTATAAGTACATTCAGTGTACTTATACCGTATTTCAATGCGATTAAACAGTTCCAGCTTCACTTCGCCAGCTGTACTATTTTTTCTATTTTACGCCTCGTACCCTTGAGTTTCGAGTGGCTTATATTAGAGATTCTTAGTAGAAATATAGCGCCATCTGCATCCTTAGAAATAAGCGAATCTGAACAATATTTTCGAATGAATCCTTAGAAAATCTATATTTCAGTTATTATAGATGGCGCTAAGTCACCTTGTTGTTTTGCCTTAGTTTATTTTCTTGGATTATTTCGGTGCTAGTGATATTATTGTCTCTAAATATAAAATAATATCATTTTAGTTATGTTGGACTAATATCAAGCAAATTTGTTTTTACATAATTTTCGCTTAGAAACGTTGTCTTGTTTAGCATAGTCTATGTTGACTGTGTCATCTGTCGTTCCGAGGAGAACGGCGGTCGGTTTCGTCTTGAAGTTTGTTTGTCTTGTTGGAGCGTCTGGTGGCGACGCGTCTCCTTTCTAAGTAGGAGCATGTAGGAGAGGAATATGTGGCATCTTAGGCCACATCCGTTGACATCCTACTTGTATATGGCTTCTTGGCCTTTATATTTTGTATAAAAAACCCACATCGTTGGTAAGTTTCCTTTGTGCATATATTTTTGGGATCTGACTGTTTTCGGTCCATTATTCGTTTGGTAACAATTGGTATTTTGTTACAGGGTTTTTTTTGACTTTTTTTTTTATCTTATTCCTATTATTATTCTACTTTATCTCGCTGAGCTGTTTCTCTCTGATGGCTTGATATCGAACCACGTGTTCGCCTTATATGCAACTGCATATATATTAAGAATCTGAGGTCCTGCTGTCCACGTGCAACTTGAAGCCGCGGACTAGCTGAATGCCCCTCGGTGGCATGTGAGGACTGCTGAGCTGAGGTCTTCACCCTTATTTGGAAACTAGGAAGGCAAGCCTGGTTATGTTTCCTTCTGGTATGTGTGTTTGCTCTAATCTAACTAGCCATTAAACTCATGATTATATTTATATACTGCTTTGTGACAGTGATTAATTTAATGTATACTTAACTCTTAATGTAACTATTATTTTGCCTGATTGGTGAGATCTCACTCCTTTGAATATCTTTAAATTGATATAGTTTAGTTTTATATTCAAACCTTGTATCAATAAACTCTAAAACTGTTAAGGAATATATCTTTTATTTCCACTAAGTAAATCCCTTAGAATAAGCATTATTCT